CCCCCTCTCGGTCCTCATCACGTTTGCCATCGTCACGGTGAAGCGAATGACTATCGTCGCCTCAGAAGCGGCTGAAGAATAGAACAACAGGTTAATTAAAGGGTTCCAACAACAAGACCAAGTTATACAGTCAATGCATATCAGTAAGGTTTTAATTATTTTTGCGTCGCTACAAGCATTTTATGAGAGACTGACAAATATATCTCAACGGTGACTAAGGAACGGAAGAGGTATTTGCACAACTTCGGTTCAGTCCATGGCAGACCTACACATATACACCTCAGTGTCCAACTAGAGGTAAAACACGATTCATCACGTGAGGCACCACCAAAAGTTGCATTACTTTTTCACAATTTTTAAGCTCCATTTGGCTTCATAAAAGATTGAAAATACTAGAAATTAAATAAGGCATGATTATTCATTGTGGAAGCCGTACTGATTGCCCTAACTTGGTAGCTTAGTTAATGCTAAAGTGGTGTGAATCAATTGCAAAAACGCAACGAAAACCAAAACCCAAAATGAATGCAGAATAGACCTAAGCTATGCCAACCACACCAGGTCAAAATTGAGGGAGCACCCATTAAATAGACGTCGCCGATCTTCGTGGGATTGGCACCCTCCACTCTCGTTACGCCGATGATAAAAGTGGTGTCGGGGAGAGGAGGGGGAATGGCTTCCGTTTGGACTGGGCACGAAATGAGCTCTTTACGTTTTTAAGAGCATATCAGGAGGGAGTTGCAGGGTTGTCTCATTTGGAACATACCAACGTAAAAATGTTGTGAAGAAGGATTTCAAATTTATGAACGCGATTGTTGAACGCATATACAACTACCGCGAAGCCTACACACTTGCTACCTGCAATCATCCAAGCATCGTCAAGTTCATTGGTGCCGGTCCAAACACGCGAATGGCCGACGTTCGCTATGTTGTGATTGAGTGAGCGACAGATGCCTTCCTGCAGGAACGTAAGCATCCTCCTTCTCTTAGAGCTAAATCATTCTCTCCTGCCTTTAGTCATCTGTTGGGAAGGTAAGTACAACATTTGGCACGTAATGCTCTGGGCTCTGCATCTTGCAGATGGGTTGGAGTGCCTTCACTCTCGTGCTGAGCCAATTATACATCGTGACTTAAAACCCGCTAACATGCCACTCTTTGACGGATGCACCACTTTCAAGATAGGCGAGCAAGGAAGAATTTCAGTCAGTAAACCGGGGCTCTCTTTTGTATATGACACCAGAGGTACAATAGCGTAAGTCTTGATGTGTCGCTCATCCTCCTCTGCGTAACCAATCAAACTGGCGTTATTAACTTGAGGCCCCGGATTTACATTACCATTTTCCCTGCCAACGTAGCGTTTATGTGGAATTCCGGTTTCATTGTCCAGCCTTAGCGTCAAAAATAAGAGGCGTATTTTTTCCAGGTCACTTTTAACTGAATAGTCATGAAAATGAGTGGCACTTAGTGTCATTGTTGAAAACACTGAAACATCTGAACTGCGGAGGGTAGTGAAATAAGGGGACTAAATGACCAATGTAAGGCGTGATACGATCAAATTTATGACTTCGACTTTATAAAAGACGGAATTCCATAGTTTAGAAACTGCATTTACCATTCTACACAATCTTTCCACCTTTGTATTTGTACGCCCATCTCCGTGTTTAAATGACGCACATGTAAAGCAACTTCAGTGGAGAATGATATAAACAGGCTTTAACTCTTCTGAGAGTCTGATTCACTTCATCGCCTACGCAGAAATCGCTCAATGCAAAGCTTGGCTTGGAGTTATGTAGCATATGGTATTACCACTGCGTAGGTCTATTGTGATGATGGCTAGGTGAAATAGCCTTATATTCGTATTTCCACTGTTTGGATAATTGCTTCGATTCTAGGCTTAAAATTAAGTTTTCTGGTTTCGGTGTTGGCAATGAGTTTCCCAGTCCAATTATTCCTTCAATTTGGCGCACATTTGACTTTTTTGTCACCATCAAAGGCAAGAAGCTGTTTGGTATCTGCTGTAGGTGCATTACTTGAACATATGAATATTCCTGACTAATTGTGATATACTCACCGTTTTCACAAACATCTTCAAGTGTACGCACTTTCTTTCTTTTACCAAAACAAAGGTCACAAGGATGAGTTCTGCACCAGTTGTTCGAAGTCAGTGGATGTTTACAGCATGACAGTTTCGATTTGGAAAATGCTGACAAGAAGATTGGACCAAGTGATGAATCCTCACTCC